GTTATAGGGCAGCGGCTTACACACTGTTCCTGAGAAGACCATCCCTTAGTCTCTCCTTTCACTAGAGATACTAGTTTAACTATTCTAGTGTTTAAATAATATAAGAGATTACTGTTGTTTAAAAAAAAATGTTGTCTTCCCCCTTTCAGAAACACTGTAGGGGCCTACAGCCAATAGCATGATGAGAACGGGACTTAATATATCTGTGGCAGAGATATCTGGTTGTCCACTGAATGGTGCTGTCTTTCATAGCATACAATTTTTGCTGCCAGAGGCTTCCCAGCCACACACTACATGCCCCAACGCCAACCACACGCCAACTCCACTCATATTCCATTGGGCAAAAACAGTTGCATGACCTCAAACGTCTAGGTGGGCCAGTTCCAAACAATGAAGGTAATGTGTATCCGCTCCAAACTGTGTGTGCTTTCTCCATAGCATCTCCATTTTCGGCAGCAAGCCTAAGATCATCTGTTAAAAGATGGCTACCCAATAAAATGGAAGGAGCCAGAATCTCTAAGTCAATACTCAGAGGAGATCTGCCTAGTCAAGAAGGAATGTCTAAAGCTGGCAAAGTGGCACATTGGTTAAGTGTTGGCTTGGGACGCCAGCTCTGAGCAGCAGGGCCCAGGTTTGGAGCCCACATTAGGGTCAGTGACGCTGCGCCCTCTACAGCTAAGATGGTGAACAACAGCTCGACCTGGAGCTGGGCTGCTGTGAGTCACCAGTGACAGTGTAGGCTTCAGTGGGGCTGGCCGGCAGCTGGCACGAGCTTTCATGAGCTGCCGTGAGCTGCCATTAGTGGCCATCCAATGGCCGCCGAGTGACTGCCTCACCCGGGAAGAGCGCAATGATAATACCAACATGGGCCAGTGAAGCGACGTCCTCCACAACTAGACTTAAGAACAAAAGGACAGCAACTTGTCTGTTCCCCTCCCCCAATTCCCCAATAAAATCTTAAAAAGAAAAGAAAAAGGAATATCTATAATGAACATAGCATGAGAGAGAATAGAATTTTGTTACAACATTGCAATTTGGGAGAGTTTGCTAGAGCGGTTCATCTACTCTAATGGCAGACACCAAACAAATAAATGGCAGACACCAAACAAATGAATGTAAATTTTAGGAGATCCAGAATCATCTGGGAAAATGGAAGAGAAGCACAAGGAAGAAAAAAAGCACAGCAACAGGAGGGGGAGAAATGAGTTCATTTTCTGGGTCAGCCCCTAGGAATCAATTCATTGGTCTGAAGCAATGCAGACCAAGATGGACAGCTTGGTTATCCATACAATCATTTGTCTAAAAATATAAACAGAAAAGATTACAAATAACCTTTGCCACACTGAAAGATAAACAAACTATCAGTATTAAAATGGCTACATAACATTTTTTAGTACAGTATAATATTTTATCTGGGAGACAACCTGGTGAAAGGTGGATTGGGCTGAAGAAACCCAGGGGAATATTCAAGGGGAAAAGATAAGGTAGGAAAAACCTGAAGATTCAAAGTAAGGAGAAAAGTCAGAGCAGTGAAAAACCGGTTTCAAAAAGGAGTTGAAATTTATGAAATTAAGGATAATTAATTTTGAAGAGCTAGAAATTAAGAGATGGTAGATGAACTGCTTTGAAGACTTAAGAAGTCTATTCATGCATTAGTTCATTCAATAAGTAATTCCTGAGCAATTATTATGTGTTGAATGTGATAAACACCCAGGATAGAACCATGAAAAAGCTCTTTGGAGATCATAGTCTTAAACAGAGAATTAAAAAGTGTGATACGTACTATCCTATCCCACTGGTCCTCAGAATGGCAATGGGTTAATTTCCTTTTATGCAAAAATACAGTCAAGACCAGTGGAGAAAAAGCTCTGTTTCCCTCTCACTACAACTCCATCTTCCTAAATTCTATCTTAGCAACCTGAAAGGGACAAACTGGCTGAAGAAAGAGAAAATTCTAAGACTTCAACAGACCGTGACAAAAATAGAGCAAAATAATTATTTCTAAGAAAATGAAATTACTTTTTATCACCACACCCTGAATAGCTTTCCTGATTGTCTCCTGAAAGTCTGTAATAGCACTGGTCGCAGCACGCACATTCCTGACAATAGACGATACGACTGAAAAAAAAAATTAGTCTCCTGTGTGCAAAATAACACTTTCACAACAATGGGCAATTCGTGGCTGCTCTCTCTAGACCTTTGCCGAACAGAATACCAATGCAGGCTAATTACATAAGCTAGCTGAAAAGTGTGTGCGTAATGGAAAGGCATCCCCCTAAAGAACAGCCAAGAAAAGGTCTCAGCACCAAATGCAAAACAACAGAAAAAAAAAAAAAAGCAAAAGAGCAAACATGAGAGCGTATGCACAGGCATTCTTATTAGCATACCGCAGTTAGCCATTTTTGTAGATGCACATAAAAGAGTTGTAAAATTCTCTGCTTGGAAAAGAATACCTTCCATCATGAAAGAATTTTTCCCCCATGCTGACTCAAGTGCTTTTTGTTCCCATGCACAGCCCTGGATCATACTTACGCTGAGGGCTTTTGTCGCTTTGGGGAGTAAAAATAGTTCTTGTCAGGAAGAGAGTTGAGCAGGGTCAAAGGCAGTTTCCACACACGGATTCACATGTTGGGCAAGGAAAACAACTGGCTTGTCACAGGGGACGCTGGAGCAAGGACCAGTTGAGGTCCAGTGCCATTTATCTGGTGCATAGAGGGGACTGCAAGAGGTCTGAAACTCGAATCCCTCAGGAAAAGTTTCAGAAAGTGCCCAACAAACAAAACAATGGCTCCAACACAATCCAAACAGATGTGTAGTGCCATGTATAACACGTGAGCTATTTTAAGTCTGCCCCAAAATTCAATGAGTGTATTGTTTGAGAAGAGAAGCATTTACAAGTGTTCATTCCAGCCATTCTACAGTGAGAGTCCTGGCAGGAAAGATGGCCCGACCAAACTGTGCCGTTTCAGAGAAGTTCAAAGAAGGGGCTTGTCCTAAAGGCCTGAGCCAAATGTAGAGAAATCCACTTACAATTATCAGGGGACTATTTGCAGCTTATTGCTAAGCTGAAAAGTACAAGGGAGGGGCAGGGAGGGGACCAGGGGTGCCTTCACAAAAGTCATGGCCTTCTCTCAGGATGTAACACCTTCCTTCCATCAAGGATGTAATTAATCTGCAGTGACACCACAAGAAAAAAGCTTCTTTTCCTTTCTCCTTCTTCTGACCAGTTTCTAGTGCTCCCCTCTGGGGCAGAGCCATACAAAGTCAGATGACAGAGGAGCAAGGAGGCTAAAGACAAAGCCCTTGTAGGCTGGCCTCCCAGGGCAAAGAAAGACACAGGCCAAACTGTAGTGAAAAGGGAACTGTGGATCAGGTGCCGCAAATGGAAGGATCTCGGCACAGTGGGTTTCTCTAGGAAGCCTAGTCCCATCAGCTGTAATTTAAGGGAAAGAAAACAAAAATTTGAGTAAGGCTCTCCTTTTGTCATAAACTGAGCTGACATACAGGATTGTACTGTCAGCTGAGATGAACTCATATCAGAGATCTCACCCAGTACCAGGCTTTCCTAAAAATGTCAAAGATCCACTCAGTCACAAGGCTCAGACAAAGCAGAGGGTACCTGGGACATTAGGGGTGCTCTCCCTGGTCTGTCTTCATGCACTGGACATGCATCTCGGGCCTGGAACAGTGAGTGAGGTCTCCAAGTGGGGTCCATGGGGTTCCCTGCACAGCAGGAGCATTTAAATTATGAAACATCTGCCTTTATACCCAGAACATTGGGTGGCCTGGGTTCTACTCTTCCGGGGGGACCTGCTTCAAAGATCCTTAGTCCCATTTATTGTAAGTAATACTTCACCAGGAAGCAGCCTGCTAGGGGCTTTCAATGGATAAGGTCTCTCCCTCGCAGCAAATAGCATTAGTCTATAACCCAGAGGTGCAGTTAAAAAGAGATTAGACCAGGTTGCCTACCTTGGTTTCTTTGCCCCCAGTATAACCTCCCATACCCCTAGGGAAGGGAGTGAATGGATTTTAGGCAGCCACTTTAACGCTTTCCTCCTGCAAACATTATATTTAAAATTGAAAGACGTGTGTGTGTGTGTGTGTGTGTGTGTGTGTGTGTGTGTGTGTGTGAGAGAGAGAGAGAGAGAGAGAGAGAGAGAGAGAGAAAGAGATTGATTAATTGATTTAGGTAGAGAAAGAGAAAAATATAAAAAATTGGAGGAGGGAAGGTCGCTGGGTGTCCCTTGCATGACATTGGAATGAGGAAATCTGCTGTATATCTCTTACCTGAACAATCTTCCAACTTTGTCAGGCAAGCCCACAGCAAAATGCAACTCAGATGAATTCCTTAGAGCGAGATTACAGGCGTACCCAAAGGCCCCTGCCCCACAGGTATGCCCTTGGCCAGCACTGTCAGGCTGTGCTCCTTTCAGATAGGAGCAAAGCAGTGCCTCTGTCATCAGACTCTCAGGCCACCCGTGGCTCCTTCTAAGTCTGAAGCTTTCAGAGCTTTTTAGATCTCCTTTTCCCCAGTTTGGAGAAGATGGTATCATGAACTCTCTAAAATACAGGATTGTAAACTGGGAGGGAGCCACAGCTGGGACTGGGGATAAGTGTGTTAACCCTTCTGGGATTGTGACCATTACACACAAGTGTGCGTTTTTCTAAAATCAGGTCTAGAATGCTTACAGGACTGTCTAAAAGACTGAGGACCTATAAAAGGTAAGCCAGCAAAACTACACAGGGTTTCTAGTGAAGGTGGACCCAGGAGCAGCTTAGCAACTCCCCACTGCCAGCTGGTCTGTGGCGGGTCTCACCGTGGTCTACGCTGTTCAGTGCCTCGTCCAACCTCCTCACCCACGGAAGCTCCTCCAAGCCCAAGGTCAAGCCTGAGCACAAACACGGTCTTATTTCCCAAATGTTTGCAAAGATGCTATGAAACATTTTAAATACAAAGTGCTTATTTTAAAATTAAATTAAATGTGAAGAGCAGAACTTACCTTTTGGTCTTGTTCGATAATGTCTGAAAACCATCTTGCAGATTAGTGCATTGCTCTGTCAGTCGGAGTGAGTTCTCATCCAGGTAGGTGCTGTTTCATGAAACAGATTTAAAACAAAAAAAAAAAAAAAAAAAAAAACCGATTGATTTAAAATGAGAGTTGATAAGATATTGTCAACAACAACAACAAAATCACATTTCTTGATAAAGTATGCCCACATGGAGTCTGACTTTTGTTCCATTATCAGATTTCTCCATGGAAAAGGAAATTGATGTTTTAATGATAAAGTCAAACAGAAAAGAACTCCCTATGGAAGACTTTATATTTTCAGGGTTTCATATTTTGAGGTTAGTGTGTACAATAAACACGTTATTGAATAGTGTTAATCGCTGCATGTGTAAGCAGGCTGTATTTTTAAAAGTTGCTGGTTCTGGTAGGAAGCACGCAGACCCAGGAGATCAATAGTTCTCCCTGAAAATAATGCAAGGTAAATCTGGCCTCTGATCGTTATATAACTGTGACATAAGGGTATGTTGCTATTGTTTATGAACCTGGAAAACTGGAGTTGGAACAAAACCCAATCAAAAAGCAATTTATGGAGTCGGCCTGCCTGAGGAGCCTCACATGCTATTTAACCTCTCCAGGCATCAGTGTCCGCATCTCTAGCCCTTCCATCTTAGTGTCATTGTCACGATATATACATGACATAGAAAACAACGTAAAGCACCTGGTAGCATGCCTGATGGAGTCAATGCTCAAAAAATTATGAACACACAATGTTATACACAGATGATGTGTTACACAATGGTACACCTGAAATCTATGTAACTTTGCAAACAATCGTCACCCCAATAAACTTTAATTAAAAAAATATATATCAACTATCAGTTTCCTTAGAATTCAAAACTGTGCCAACAACTGTCAATACATTTATTTCACCATCCTGAAGGTATTTGCTGAAAAGAGCCTAACAAGGGTTGGGGGCCGGCACAGGATGCTTTGGCTATGGAGTTAAATAAAACAGACTCCGCCCCTTTCCCTAGTGGCGCTTGCAGTCTGGTTAGGGAGAAAGATATTTCTCTCTCACACACACACAAAACACACAAGTGAAGATAGAATTATGAACTGTGATTAGGATCTTTAAAACAGCAGTGGGTGCCATGGCAGAGGGTAATGGGGAGACCCCTGCCTACTGAAGGGGCCTCTGAAACAGTGTCATTTTGATGGCAATCTCACGGGTAATCCAAGTGTGCTACATGAACTTTGGGAAGTGCGGGCAACATTCCAGGCAGAAAGGAAAAGTATATACAAAGGCCCCGGAATGCGGAGGAGTTCACAATGTTTGAGGAACTGAAAGAAGGCAGGTGGGGTTCAAGGCTGAAAGGGCGCTTGGAGTAGTAAGTAGGGCCCAGAGCACACAAACCTGGTAAACCAGGTTTAGTATTTATCCAAACAAGAAGGGGAAGCAACAGAATGCTGGAGCAGGGGAGCGGTGTGACCCAATGTATGTTCTAAGAGGTTCACTATGCAGAGATGCGAGAGGAAGAGAATTGGGACTATAGACAAGGTGGGAAAGTTTAGGAGGCTTCTGTAGGGTTCCCGGAGAGAGATGATGGCAACTTGTTTTACTAGCCAGGATAGGACAGACTACGATGTCATAGCAAACAACATGCACGCAGTTGCTTTACATAACAAAACTTTGTTTCTTGTTCCTGAAATGCCTGCTGCATGTCTGGATGGCTTTTTAGACAGGCTGCTTCGGTTGGGGCACCTTCATCGCAACAACGTGCTTCTATGATGACTGCGGCAGAAGAAGCTCGTGCTGGAAGGTCGTACCCTGCTTCTGAATGCCCGCGCCCAGCCAGAACTAGTCGCATGCCCAACCTGATTGCAAAGTGGGAGTCAGAGAAGAGCAACCATCCCGAGTGCCCAGAAGGAGAAGAGGCTGGGATATGGAAGTGCCCTGGAAGATGGCACCATACTGTCCATCAGCCTGAAGAGGAGCTGACAGATCTGAGATCTGTTCTGGAGATAAGACTGACAGAACTTCAAAATAAATTGGATATGGGAGGTGAGAGAGCGACAGGTGCACAGGTGAAGGTATTATATAAACAAGAGAGATTCATAATTAATTCTCCCATATTTCTCAGAAATGCGTTCTAAAAGCACAGAGTACATATGGGCTTATAAAATGCTGGTAGGCTCTTTCTCCCCCTCCCCCACTGCCTTCCTCCTTTCCCCTCATTCTGTCTCCATGGCTCACCTTCTGCGCTTCCTGAATGTATTACTGTACTTTCCAAGGATGTGTTTATTTCTAATTGGCTGTGGGTTTTATTCAGGCGGCACCGTTAATGAACTGAATTACCAAGGCAGCAGTGCTTTGAATTACGATGGCTGTGCAATATTACCTTGTAAACCTGTGACAAGCAGGCCCCCATAGGATTTAGTGTCACATAACTTTCCTTAAATCAGATAGTATCTTTGTTAATAAAAAGTCAAAACAGTTTTGCCCAACTGAAAAATCACAGAAGGTCCACAGACAAAACAAATGAGAATGTCTGGGCTAAAACGGGAATGAGAGAATGAAGTCATAGGAAAAACCAGGGACTTAGGTACCAGTAGGACCAGCCTTTGAACCTGAGACACACTCTCTGACCTTGGCCTTTGAGCCTAAGTATAAAGATACTGTAGACTGAAAGCTGGTGTCCCCTAAATTCATATGCTGAAATCCTAACCCCCAAGGTGATGATATTAAGAGGTGGAGCCTTTGAGAGGTGATGAGATCATGAAGGGGGAGCCCTCAAGAATGGGATTAGTGCCCTCATAAAATCAGCTGGAGAGGGTCCTTGGCCCCTTGTGCCTGTAAGGGTACAGTGAAAAGATGGCCGTCTATGAGGAATCGGGACCTCAACAGACACCAGCTCTGCAGCTGCCATGATCTTGGACCTCCCAGCCTTCAGAACTGTGAGAAATAAATGTCTGTTGTTTATAAGCCACCCCATCTGTGGTATTCTGTTACAGCACCCCAAAGGGACTAAGATGAGCAATTACCCGGGCCGTGTATAAGAACACCTGGCACACAGAAGTCACTAAATAAATGCTGTGTTCTTATTCTCCTAAACGCACCATTGCATTCTCTCCTAAAACCAGTCATTGTTATATCCACAGGGGTCAGAAACTGCTACCACCCACAGAAAATCACTGCACAGTGAAAGCAAGGGAAAGAGAAGCCCCTTGCAGTCCCTTTGCTTTCTGTTTCTCTCCTGTCCCCTTTCCATTCAGAGTCTTCATCGTTTTCTTCCTTTTCACCTACTATCATTAAAACCTCCCCAGGAAAATGTAGAATGCAGAATCCATGAACTTCAAACTTTTGTCTACATTAGGTGTCTGACCAATGTAAGCCCCTTTCACTGCCCGCTCAGACAAATCTCCCCGTTCATGCTATTTTCCACAATATTTGTTATTCAGTGACAGAATTACAGATTAACAGTATAACTGCCATGTTTTAAAATGCTTGAGGACCTGATATGTACACGATGCCAGGAGTCTCCGGGGAAAGGGAAGGTGGTGTTAGACCTTTCAAGGAGAGGGCTAGATGGCTCAGTTAGATGACATCGTCACTCCTCTCTGTTGTGTGACTGAGAACTAGATGTTCCTTAAATGTGAGCTCATGACACAAACCACAAGGGAGCTACTTGAAAGGGGAAAAGAAGAAACCTCAGTTCTCTATTGAGAGAAGACATGACCTGTAGACAGATCCTGTTGGAGAAATTGGCACCCACTGTGGATAGAGACGTGAGATCGACTCCTCTTTCACTTCTAATTTAGGGACATCTTTCAGACACATCAAAGAGAACAGAGAGAAATTGACCAAGATGAGAGTGGGAATGGCAAAGACCTGGAAACCTGGCAGAAGAACAGATTGCTGCAAGACGAGTGTGGGCGGACTTGTAACCCTAGGAACAATTACTGGGGATCAGGTTGTAAAGGACTGGATGTCAAGGAGAAGTTGAAATGATAGAGGCAGCTCCGGAGGTGAAGCACACCAGGGCCTGGTGCCGGGGAGCTGACATTCAGGTAGAACAAGTGCAGGATGTAAATGGACAGGGCCTCCCCCTAAAACTAATGCAAGCTGGCAGTCTGAGCACTTGGGTCTTGGGAGAGAAAAAGCACAGGTGTCAGGAGAGCTGCCAGGTAAGCAATAAGACCAAAATCGCTGGGCCAGACTCTTGGGCCAAACTAAGAATTCTGTTTCTGTCAACTCTGCTACTTTTTTTTTTTTTTTTTGCAATTTTCTGGTGAAAACCCTTTGTAAGAACTTCTTACCAGAATTAGCTAAAGAAAAGGATCAGTCCATATGTCAGAGATGAGCGTGTGCCAAGATAAGTCACAGAAGGGACAGTGGTCACCCTCTTGGAGATCTGTGAGAACTTGGTGGACCAAGTTCACACTTGACATCTCTCAGGCCAGACTGCTGAGATGACTATAACTGCGCCACCAAGACCTCTTTAATTGCTGCATTACAAGATAACAATCTCTGCCCACTCGTTGCTATGTGGGATTGCTTGTCTGCTCATTTGTAGCATTTGCAACAACTTGCCAACACTCTAAAGTCCCAGCTCCCTTGACATTTTGTTACACTCAGCTGGTAAATCTGCAATAATGGAGCAACAGAGTCCCTGGAAAAATACATTACTATATCTAACCCCTCCCCACAGGACTGCTGGGGGGGGGAACCACACAGTAGGTGGGTTGGTGCCTTGAGAAACATGGTGTCCAATGTGCTCAGCCTCTTGTCCACCTTGACAATTCTATCACATGGCACCAGCGACCTCCCTCTTCCATCTCCCTCACATGCACTGCTCTGCTGTCTGCACCATTCTGTGTCTTCCTCACTTACTTAATCATGCTTCCTATGTCAGAAAAAAACAAGGCTGCCCAATGGGAACTGATGTTTGGCTATAAGCCATAAGCCATCCCTGCTTTTCATCCCACGGAAAGAAGGATCTCCCCTCTTACCAAAGGATAAGCCACCTGCCGACCACCCCTCCCCATCTCCGCTACGACCCAGCCCCATCTCTTCATTTTTC